GTATTATTGTAATTTAATTTCTATCTATCTATCTATCTATCTATCTATCTATCTATTACAATAACACCAATGTATGTGGAGCTAATAGTCACAACATATGAATAATTCATAACCATTTTAAAAAAGGTGCATTTTTAATCATTTACCAAAATCATCATGCCGTAATTTATGGATGACAAATGTTAAGATGCTTTCAGATGTAATAGAAATCAATGTAATGGGTTTTTGACGATGCTGTTTGTTGCATGATGCTGTTTTGTAATATTTATTATAAACTCCCCATACATATTTACTGAAAGTGTTGTGCATTGATTCAGCTGAATGCACAAGCCGTCTGTCCAGCTGTTCTGCTCATGTGCTTGTGCACAGTGTTGGGGGTAATGCATTACAAGTAACGCGAGTTACGTAATCAGATTACTTTTTTCAAGTAACTAGTAAAGTAACGCATTACTTTTTAATTTACAAGAAAATATCTGAGTTACTTTTTCAAATAAGTAATGCCAGTTACTTTGTTTTCCCATTTATTGACTGACAAGTCTCCTGTCCCCATGTTGAGAGAAATCGGAAGTACAGAGGCTTTGTGTGCGCTGAGTGAACATAATGTTACTGTAGTTCTAGACTAAATGTGAACATGCATTAATTTGTCTTACTCGCAAAAAGACAGATTGAGTATTCATCAAAATGAATTAAAACAGTGAAATGCAAACTCCAAATATGATGCAAACCTGCAATAGTTAAATATCTTAAATTTAAATGTATTTAATCCCATTTTATTAACCAATGTCTTTGCTGCTGACCTTTGATGATCCATTTCAACCATACTAATAAGCAAAAATTACTAGATAAACTAACATTTGTGCTTCATTGTTTTGTTTTTTATTGCTAAAGAGTGTTGAACCTTCTTCTCCTGAATTCTACTGTACGGACGTGAATTTACTTTTCTTTCAGCCTGAGGCTTATTCCTTTCACTTTTTGGTGTGAAAGGGCTTTTACATTTGCTAAAAATAGAACTTTTTATATTAAAAACAAACAAGCAAGCCCTGCCCAGATTTAAAAAGTAATGCAAAAGTAACGTAACGCATTACTTTCCATAAAAGTAATGTAATTAGTTACTTTTTTAGGGAGTAACGCAATATTTTAGTGCATTACTTTTAAAAGTAACTTTCCCCAACACTGGTTGTGCAGGTGAAGTGTTTCCCGCCGGTGTTCCTGACAGACTGACTCGTCCGGAGGCCGTGGCTCACTGTGCGGCTCTGGGCGGCCGGCTAGCGAACGTGGGTCAGCTCTATCTGGCCTGGAGCTCTGGGCTGGAGCACTGCGAGCCGGCCTGGCTGTCTGACGGCAGCGTGAGGTTTTCCATCAGCTCGCTGCACTCGGACTGTCCCGCTGGAGGACCTGGCGTCCGAACCGTTTCACCGTCAGAACTGAACAATGGGACAGGGCGCTTTGATGCTTTCTGCTATAGAGGTATGCATTAGCAATTTTGCATGTTACACTGTCGTGCATTACAGAAACCATTATTATTGGTTATTTTTTGATCTAGCCTCATGGTTAAGGGATGTTATGAACTGTAAGAGTCCATGAGCCTGTACCATGATGGTGGCTGAACAAACTCAGGGTTACAAGATTACTTTTGAGTTGACAAAACCAAACCAATCCAATCCGGCTTTGTTGGTACCATGAAGCTGATCAGCAACTTTCTCTGTCAACTCAGGCTTTAATCCTGAGTTAATGAAGCGCGTGCACTTGAAAGTGTGACATCAGTCATGAACAGCCTTTCACATGCCCTTTACCTGTGATTCACTGCCAAAGATTAAAAGATTGAAATACATTTTAAATACAGTTTAAATACATTTACACAGCAAGGTGAAAAGAGCTGTCTGTGAAAGAGGACAACTAAAAGAAGACATCTTGCCATATCAGTGCAAGTCAAACATGTGAAGTTAGTTTATATAGTTGATAATATAAATGTGACCCTGGACCACAAAACCAGTCATAAGGGTCAGTTTTTTGATATTGAGATTTATACATCATCTGAAAGCTGAATAAATAAGCTTTCCACTGATGTATGGTTTTAGGATAGGACAATATTTGGCTGAGATACAGCTATTTGAAAATCTGGAATCTGAGGGTGCAAAAAAATCAAAATATTGAGAAAATCGCCTTTAAAGTTGTCCAAATGAAGTTCTTAGCAATGAATATTACTTATCAAAAATTAAGTTTCGATATATTTACAGTTGTAAATTTACTAAATATCTTCATGGAACATGATCTTTACTTAATATCCTAATGATGTTTGGCATAAAAGAAAAATGGATAATTTTGGCCCATAGTGTACTATTGTTGGCTATTGCTACAAATATTCCTGTGCTACTTATGACTGCTTTTGTGCTCCAGGGTCACAGGTAGGTATACAGAGACTCAAAAATCTAAACTCTTATGTAGTCATGTTTAAAGTTTTATCTATTGATTCTATAGCTAATTTACATTCTATATTATTTGTATATATTTATATTAATTTAAAGTAAAAGATTAATAATTATTATTATTTTAATATGGCTTGTGTAATGGATTACGGCTATAGTAAATATATAAATCATGTAATTATAATAAAAGCCAGGTGATTTTATCTTTAAAAAATGTTTTACTATATAGTGTCCTTTAATTTGGAGCAAGAGAAACTGGGGGAGTGGCTTTATTGTATCAGAGATGTGACACTTTGCTTGAAGCTGATTGGTCAAATTTCAGTTTGCGATCTCTAAACCAGAACATAACCTGCCCCAGAGCAACTGTGGAGCAGTTAATATAGCGATCGGGGGTCCAGATAGGCCTCTGTGCTTTGGTAAATAGAAAGGACTCACTATTCTAATGCAATGTAGCCGTGTGTCTGTATTAATACTGTAGTTTTTTTATTAAGGTGAGTTTATTGAATTGTTTGTTTAGTAATTGGGTTAGGGTTAGGTAATAATATAGCAGCTCATATTGAACTTTAAAGCATCTTTCAGAAGATAAAACATTCTCTCCAGCAGTGTTAATTTCGTTGACGAATAATTTTCGTCATAATTTTCGCCAACGACATTTTTGTCACCGACAAAGACGAGACGATAACGAACTAAAACTCTTTTTGAATGACAAAAACTGACGAAAATCTATTGCCATTTTCGTCAACGAATAAAAACGAGAGGGACGATTTGGGAAGAGATTCAACTATTTTTAAAATTCTTAATATTAGTAAAAATGATAATCATGTCACATGCAATACAGATTGTTTCAAAGTAGCTTCACAGAGAAAAACAGGAAAATTAATACGTTTCATACAATGTTGATTCTGTTCATCATCAGTTATTAATTAAACTTGATTATTTTGATAATGAATAAAAACTACATATAAACACATTAAAAACAAAAACTACTAGAAGTGACAAAAATGCACAGCAAAATTATTAAACTCTAATAAAAATGTAAATAAAAAACTAAATATAAATAACTATAAAAGTATTTCAGTGGTACTAAAATAACTCTTAAGTGCTAAAATAACTAAAAATAAATAAATTAAAAAAAATTAAATTCAGTTCATCATCAGTTATTAATTAAACTTGATTATTTTGATAATGAATAAAAACTATATATAAACATTAAAAACTACTAAAAATGACAAATGTTGATTCTATTCGGTTCATCATCAGTGTATTATTGAACACTGGTGTATTATTGTAGGACAACCTCTTAAAGGGCACCTATTATGCCTCTTTTTACAAGATGTAATATTGGTCAGTTAAATCAGTGTCTATCATGATAAAACCTTAATATCAAACCTATATAATGAGTTTGGAAATTTTAGAGAAATGTTTAATAAATGCATGACACTGTAACTAAACCCATTAGATTTAAGCCGACTAAATTTACTGTAGATTTAGTTTACTAAAAGCTTATAATATTTAGTCGACTAAAAGTAGGCTAAAACTAAAAACAATTCAGATGACTAAAATATGACTAAAACTAAATGGCATTTTAGTCAAAAGACTACGACTAAAACTAAATCAAAATTTGCTGTCAAAATTAACACTGGCTACGAGGTGTCTATCATGATAAAACCTTAATATCAAACCTATATAATGAGTTTGGAAATTGTAGAGAAATGCTTAATAAATGCATTACACTGTAACTAAACCCATTTTTACTGTAGATTTAGTCAACTAAAATTGTATGATATTTAGTCGATTAAAACTAAAAAGATGACTAAAATATGACTAAAACTAAATGGCATTTTAGTCAAAAGACTATGACTAAAACTAAATCAAAATTTGCTGTCAAAATTAACACTGCTAGCCAGCTAATCTGGCTTCATGGTACAGGCCCCATAATTCTTTGCAACAAAGATTAAATACTCAGTCCATCATAGAATCCATTCATGTAGTATTAGTCATGGTTTTCATGTGAAAATAGTCATAATTTAGTTTTTCAGGTCCATATTTCACCCTCTGTTTAGAATTAAACATGCTGTTTTTGCTGCTTGTACCTTTAAGAGTTTGGTATTTAAATGACCTTGCAAACCTTGTTTGGATTTATATTTAAATCTTCTGATTTTAATATGTCACTTTGGTGATGTTGCAACTTGTTAGTGTAATGCTGTATTAATAAATAATAATAATAATTATAATTATTATTATTAATAGTATATTGCTTATATAATATGCCTTAATATTATGTATTAAATACTTATTTACAAAGTAAATTAAGTATACTACATGATATTCTATTAAGTATGCTATGTACTAAATGAATAAATAATTTAATACATAGCATACTTAATAGAATATCATTTAGGATACTTATTTACTTTGTAAATAAGTATTTAATACATAATATTAAGGCATATTATATAAGCAATATACTATTAATAATAATAATTATAATTATTATTATTATTTATTAATACAGCATTACACTAACAAGTTGCAATTTATTTATTTGTCTATTTATTTTAGTTACAAAAACAATTAGTAAGTCTGATGACTCTCATTTGTCTTAATTTATTTTTATTAGATTTTTTAGTACTTATTGTTTTATTATTAATATAATTAATTTAGTTTTTCAGGTTTAATTTAATTTAGTTTTACTTAATGTAAATTAGTCTTATGCTCATTAGTTAAAATGGGTTGAAAACTAAACAGAAATGAGTAGTATTTTCCAACAAAAGTGTTTATATGAGTTTATAGCTGTCAGTATATTATATATAAAACTTATATATAAATACCTTTGACATATATTCTCCCGTTCGAAAGTTTGGTATCATTAAGCTTTTTTTTAACAAGTTCATACGTTTATTTAGCAAGGAGGCCTTAAATTGATCAAAAGTACAGTAAAGAGATTTCTAATGTAAATATTATTATTGGAGATGTTCAGCATACTGCACAATATCTACAGTATATTGCATACTTTTTGTAACACAGCTGTAATGGTGGAAGTAATGATAATTTGCATTTTTAAAATTGCGTAGAGAGGACATACAACCGCACACTCACTTGCAAATAAGCTTCTTTATTTGCATTTTTAAATCAATCTAGTGTGTAAAAGTTTAAGATTGTCTAAAAAATTGTCGACATTTTGCATACTAAGTTAAATAAGGCAAATAATGGTCAAGATGATGTTAAAAAAATTGTATTTGTCTCACTGGAAATGGAAAGTCATTCACTGCATTATTCAGTGCTGTTTTTGTATTCTTCACATTTATAAATGTAGTCAGATATTCCATGCATTAATAACATTTGCATACTTTGCACAGTATAAAATAGTAGCTGGTATGTCATTCTGTGCATATTGATCTAGATTTATTCATCTGACAGACGTTAATCCAAAGTGATTTACAGCGCATTCAAGGTTTACATTTTATCAGCACGTGTGTCTCTGCTAATCGAACCCGTGACCTTGCCGTTTCTTGCACATGCTCCAGCGGTTGAGTGATGTGTTTGGAGAGAGAATCTGAGTGATTGAATTGAACGTGTCAACAGAAAAGAAAGCGCAGGAGACTCTCACAGGCATCATGAAGTCCTTACTGAGACCGTGGAGGTACATGACCAGAGACGACAGTTCAGAGGACGCGTCCGAATCGTTTTTCTCCAGCAGCGGTACGATTCATTTCAGCGATTACTGGATTATTTGGGTGTTCATTTGTGTTTTCGCTCACTCACTTTCACTTATACCGAGCAGAGTTCATCATTCTTTGCAACAAGATTAAATACTGAATCCATCAGAACTTTTTATTTTTCCCCAGAAGTCCACTTAAAGGTTTTTGCATCAGAGAATAGTTTTTCAGGATCATTTTCATCCTCATTTAGAAATTAAAGGGGACATAACACACAGTTTCACCCAATCTCATGTTAATCTTGAGTACCTTTAAAGTAGTATGTTTTGCATCCTTCATATCTCCAAAGAGTCTTTAGTTTTCTTATATTTATAAAAGAAAGATACAGTTTACTGGAGGCTTAATGAAAACTTAGTGAAACTTGTACGAAACCGGAAGGAGTGTATTTGGCACAGAAATACTTTGGCCATGTTTAGCATGAGAATCCAACTCTATAACAGTGTAAATAACTCAACATGCATGAAATAGCATTAGACCCCCCTTTAAACTCTTAAACAGCCTCTTTAATTCACCCATCTTTCTTTGCAACAAAATACGGACATGCTAATCAGCAGAACGTCTGTTTTATTGCTAAAGGGACCATTTTTACCTTTATTTTTTCACAGAAGTGCACTTATAATATTAATCAAGGTTTTTTTGCATTAAAAATAGTTATATTTAAGAAAAAAATGTTTATTCAGGACCATTTTCACCATCTCAGGCTGTTTTTGCTGCTTTTCAGTTCTGTTTCTATGACTTTGCAAACATTTTTAGAATGTTTTGATTTAAATTCTACTGATTTAAATATTTCATGTGATGGTACAAGTTTTTGTAGAAGTTAGGATGAGCTGAAAATGATTAAGAAATCAGTAATATTCATCAGCAAAAGTGTTTTATGTATTAAGATTTTTACTTAATTCTTTTAATGGTAATACTTTTATTAATCAAGGCTGCATTCAATTAATCAAACGGGAGAGTATAGGCATTTAGTTTTATTTTTTTCCCCAGAAGTCCACTTATCAAATTACTCAAGGTTTTTGCATCAAAAAAATTGATGCAACTTTTTTTTTTTTTTTGCTGCTTTTTTTTAATGACTTTTGAAAAAGAACTTAAAAGCATCTTTGCTATGTTTTGATTTATATTTAAATTCTTATGATTTAAATATTTAACGTTATAAGTTAGAATGTGTTGAAAATGATTAAGAAATGTTCCAGCAAGTGTGTTATATAAATTATAGCTGAATCAAAAGTATAAACAAATAGCTTTCTGACAATCAACTATTCAAAAGTTTGGGGTCAGTGTGATTTTTTTTTTGTTGAAAGAAATTAACACTTTTATTCATGGAGGATGCATTAAGTTGCTCAACAGTGACAGTAAAGACATTTATAATGTTTCAAAAGATTTCTATTTCAAATAAATGCTGTTCTTTTGAACTTTCTTTTCATCTGTGAATCCTGAAAAATAAAATGTATCACGGTTTCCAGAAAAATATCGGGCAGCACAACTGTTTTCAACATTGATAATAATCAGAAATGTTTCTTGAGCAGTAAAGCAGCATATTAGAATGATTTCTGATGATCATGTGACACTGAAGACTGGAGTAATGATGCTGAAAATTCAGCTTTGATCAATTACATTTTAACACATTCAGCTGTTTTAAATGGCAATAATATTTAAATGTTTTTCCTGTGTTTTGGATAAAATGAATGCACCCTTGGTGAGCAGAAGAGACTCTTACCAATCCCAAACTTTTGTTGTGTATGTTGGTAAAGTTAGTTATTTATTGTATTTGCAGTGCAGCCAATGAATGAACAAACTGAATTATTGTTAAATGCCCAGTTCTCTTAGAAAAGTGTCATATCTTGTAAGTAAAAAGTGTTGTTTCGGTGTTAAATTATCTTGTATCTGACTGTATTCAGACGCACAGACTGCCGGCCAGCCGGACCTGCCTGACCTTCAACCCGCTAACTGGACCGGACAGGTGGATCTGGACAAAGAGCCGCTGATGGCTGCTGAGGGCGCCGAGCTCTCGGCTGAGTATCTGACAGTCCGTCTGCGAGCCGGAGACACATCTCTGGACTGGAGCAGCCAGCTGGACTCCTTCCCAGACAGCCGACAGGTGCTTCCGGATCTGAGTCCTGGCGGCTCTGCCCGAGAGGAAGAGGACGAGGACGAAGGTCTGTCCGGTCAATCCGTGAGTCCTGCGGCTCCTTCAGAGGCTCCTCAAGAAAAGGCCAAGGGTTCCCTCACCAACATCGTCAGCTCGTTATGGAAACCCTGGAGCTACTTGACTGGAAGTGAAGCGGAGGCGACGACCAAGAGCACGGCTGCGACGGAGACGCCCGCAACGGACGGCAGAACCACTGCTACGCCTGGATCAGGTAAATATGAAAGAAAAGGGTTTCTGTTTCTGATCTTCACTGTAGCTGAGGACTTCTGACGGATCGGTGAGAGAAATGGATGCGACACAACAAAAATGACTGATTTACAGAATTTTTTCTGAAAGGAAAAATGCATTTTAAGTAGGGCTGGGCGATATTATCAACATCAATATTTGTTCAGAGTTCAGATGCAAAAGCCTCTTTTGTGCCGTTTGACATTTTCTTCTAAAATGAGCATTTTTCTCAGGATCCTATGTGTAGGTTCAGTAATTTCACTTTAATAGCAATGAATAGGTTCTTTTGATATCTGAATATCTGAACATAAACATAGAAGCCCTTACTAAAAAGAAGTTTATTCAAGTGTGCTATTAGTATACTTCTTTTAAACTAATAAATAGGAAAGTATACTTTCAGTCTACTTTTTATGTACTTTTCAGAGATGTGCTTTATGTACTTCTCAGAAATACACTTAAAATGACATTTAAGTATACTTGACTTATTGACGTAAAAAATAAATTTGAGCTATACTTAGCGCTCCGGGAATCCATGTTTTCATTGTTATACAGTAGGGGGCGCTAGTACACATCTTCTGTACAGAATTTCCAAAACACAAGTGAAGAAGAAACCGAAACAACAGATGCTTCCACATGTAATCTAACATGATCATCAGACATAAAACAGCATCAAAACTGTAGCGTTATGGAATAAATTGTAGACCCATGAAGAGGTAATGACTGTCAAGCTTTGGGGTGTTGGTTGACTCGATCTACGTTTGGATTATCATTCTGAATACAAGAGTAGTACTAGTACACTGATATTGGTGTACCTACTACATAAAGTGTACTTAAAAATATACTTGAACTTTACTTAAGTATACTTAATAAAATAAACTTGAAGTATACTTATTTTTGGTAAGGGAGCCTGAGAAAAATTTTCATTTTCGAAGAAAATTTCAAACAGCACTTTTTGCTTTTGCATCTGAACTCTATTTTTAAAAATCTACCATATCAATAATACATTTTGAAATAATTTTTGATGTTCCGTCCAGACCGTTTTTACCGCTTGAAGTACTTGAAGTACTGAAATAACAAAAAGTAAATAAACTAAAAATGGTAAATGAAAAATAATTAAAAACTAAACAGACGTATTAAAAAACTAAACTAGTAAAAATGAGAAACACAACAAAATTACTAACATTTTAAAATGATAACAGAAAATATAAAAATAAAATCTTTTTCAGAATATTTACAAAAACTTTCAAAGTATGTTTTTTTTTTCAAGAAATAGATCAATACTTTCTTTAAAACACTGTAGAAAATAAGAATGCAGCAAAGTAAAATTATTTTGATAAAAATGTAGCAATTTTGACTAAACTAAACTATTTAGAGATACTTTTTTATTATTCAAATATAAAATAGAATATAAACAAACTAAAACAGAATTTGAAAAAAAAAAAAGATTTCATTGGGTGCTAAAAATGTTATTTTTGTTAAACGTTTAATAAATTGTTGTTAACTGGTATGTTTCTAGATTTTGATTAATTAGACATGCTTTTTGATTTCTTAAATTTAATGTAACCATTAAAACAGAATCCAGAAAAAAAATCAGAATTTGGGGGTGAAATTCATTTTATAGGGACCTAAAAATGTTTATATTTGTTTACATTTTTTTTTTAATTGTTGTTAGTATAAGTTCCTTTATTTCTATTAATTAGCCATGTTTTTTTGATTACTAAAATTTAATTTAACCATTAAAACAGAATTGAGAAAAATTAAAACAAGAAAAAATGGAATTCAGAACAAATTAAAATGGGAAAACTGAATTTAGGAACTAGGCCTTACAAATTGAATTATATTTAAGTGCATTAAGTAAAAACAACTTTAATCTGTGTTATTTTAATATTATTTATATACTTTTATTTTTTTTTTATTTTGAATTATAAGTTGAAGTTACTAAATTCACTAAAACTGAAATAAAAATAATGTTACATTTAAAAAAAGCTTTTAAAAAATAGCAGCTCTTTTTTTTATGTTTTCCGTTTTAATTTTAGATTCAGTCATTGTGTTTTGTGCTTTTGTCATTTTTATAGATTTTTTGAATATTTTTTTTATATAACTTTTAAATATACTGTTGTTAAATTGTAGAAGTTTCATGATTGCACTTTATTAGACATGCTTTTTGTGAAAGCATGGGCCCTACTCAAGTGTGATTTAGTTGCTCGTCATCACTGAGAGGGTGATGTTAGTCGGATAAATCAAGCTCCGGTCCAGCGGGAGGAAGTCAGGACAACGAGAGGAGGAAGTTGAGATCATTGATGTTATTCTGTCAGCTTCACTTCAACCACAACCTGAGATTGTGTTCTCCGTTTGTCGAGGAGGGCCGAGCGTTAGAGTTTGAGGATTGAGTTGGCGTCCTCTCTGCCCTCCTGTCTTCATTAATACAGATACCTTGTTTGGCCCAAACTGAACCCGGCAGCATTAATGTTTAACGGCAAATGGAAACTTACAGAAGGCCTGTCGCCTACATTATTAAAGTCCATTTCCATGAAGGCAGAATTTCGGCTCTGTACCAGTGGAAGCTTCATAATTGAGGGTTGAAAGCTTGAGACGGGAAACCAGAAACTGGAAAAGTGCAACCACACTGTTCACTTAAGCACACTTACTGTACTGTACTGTACTGTATGCTCCAGTGCTTTGCGTGGTTTGTTCTGCTGATATACAAGACATACCAAAACCAACAGACAGTTCACCCGATATTTGTGCGCTGTTTTATAATGTGAAGTGTTTCAAAGCACTCATTTGTGAGGGTTCATTTAAATTAGAATGCTGCCTTGGGCCAGAAACAAATGCAGCCGCAAGCGTTTGTTCAGTCTCATAACTGAAATCAAGCACATGCACTGGCCAAGTGTTTTTCTCTCACAATTCAGACTCTTTTTTTTTTCTCATAAATCTGAGCTTATATCTCAAGTTTATTCAAGTTCAATTCAATTCTAATTTCTAACATCTATCTATATACCTAACAATTTTGCAGGTGGAAAAGTCAGCATTGCGAGATATAAACTCAGAAATACAAAATGTAAATTTCAAACTATTTTCAAATTTTTCCATTACGGGATAAAAAAAATAAAAAATCCAAATTGTGAGGAAAATTGTCAGAATTGTGAGGAATTCTCTTCACACTTACCTTTTATTTTATTGTAGTTTTTATTTTTATATCTCGTAATTTGGTCTTTTTGTTTTGCAATTTTGAAAAAAAATTTAAAAGAAAAAAAGAAATTGCAAGATATAAACTCAGAATTGTGTAATGTGAACTCTGAATTGCCAGGAAAAAAGTCAATTTTTCTGAAGCGAGATCCCAATTCGTCGGTCATCCGACGTGACGTCGAGAGTGACCGACTGAAAGGGAATCATGATTTTTGAAACTGAGTTATCTGTTTTTGCAAATGAACTTTTCATATATATATAATTGACTTATTTTATATCTAATTTAGATTTTATTTTAAATCTTAGTCATTTTTTATGTGCTTTTATTATTTATAATTTTTTTTTTTTATATTTCTATTGAACTTTATTTATAATTAACACTTTCATTGTGTTTGTCTCTATAGGACTGATGTCATGGTGGAGCCGCTCGTGGCTGCCCAGTCCTTCAACCGTCACTGATAAATTAATCACCTCCTTTCCGCGCACGAGTTCAGTCGTACCGACGACAGTCCCACCAAACGCCACAACAGACGGACCAAGAGACAATCAGACCAGTCGACCCGCACAGGACGGTCCGGCGACGGCGGCCTATTGGATCGTAGTGACCGAAATACCCGAGCAGAAAACCCAAACCCCTGAACCCAAAGTCTCCGTCTCGACTGAGAACTTCTCCGGAGAGAGTCGAGTGCTGGAGACGGAGGGCAGCTCGTGGGGCGACACATACCCATCATCCCAAACACCGCTGACGGTGGAGACGACGAGCACAGGTTCCTTCTCCACTTCTGCACACGAACTCGAGGCTCGCGGAGAAATCCAGTACAGACGCAGAAACAAACCCAAGAGACTCAACCAGAGCACCACTGAGACGACCATGAGTGGCGCCCAGAGCATAACGACTTCCTCCGCTGCGATGTCTAGCACTGGAGACACTGTGACGACCCTCTCGACGTCTGCAGACCAGACTCAGACATCAAGCTTCGTCACGACGGTCCCCAGCGGCGTAGAGCAGGATCTGAGCAGCGCCGAGGCCGTATGGAAGAACAGCTCCACTGGAGAAGAAGGTAACTGATCTAATTCATCATTTTCACTAGGGTGATAAACGATATCATATCAAGATTCACCGTTTCAATTGAGGAAAAACTACCATCAAAAACACACTGAAACTCAAAGAGCAAACCTAAATAAAAGTTTGGTTTAACTTGAAGAAATTGTGACAGAAATATATTACTATTGAGAAAAACTTGAGAAAACTACCATAAAAAATACACTGAAACTCAAAGAGCAAACCTAAATAAAAGTTGGTTTAACTTGAAGAAATTATGACAGAAATATATTACTATTGAGAAAAACTTGAGAAAACTACCATCAAAAACACACTAAAACTCAAAGAGCAAACCTAAATAAAAGTTTGGTTTAACTTGAAGAAATTATGACAGAAATATATTACTATTGAGAAAAACTTGAGAAAACTACCATCAAAAACACACTAAAACTCAAAGAGCAAACCTAAATAAAAGTTTGGTTTAACTTGAAGAAATTATGACAGCAATATATTACTATTCTATACTAAAATCTTCTGCTCAAAGTAGTAATAATAATAATGATAATATTTTGAAGGAATATCATACAAACTGATATTTCATCCCTGTTTTAATTTACACAGTTCTGTTGTACAGCGCCTTATTTGACAGAAAATAAAAATGCAAAGTTTGTTGTGAATTAATTGTTTTTTAAATTTGATTACATTTTAAAAGATTGATTTAATAGTTTTATTATTTTTTATTAATATAAAAACGTTTTATTAATTCATTTCTTTAGACACAATTTTTTATAAATTTGTATTAAATCATAAAACAGAATCCAGAAAAAAAGAAAAAACCTGGAAAAAAAATGAAATGTGTAATAAAATTGCAATGTTTTATTGTGAATTAATTGTTACATTTTCAATTGATTACATTTTAAAAGATTGATTAAATTGTTTTGTTAGTTGTATTAATATAAAAAAAGTTTTATTAATTCATTTCATTAGACACGGTATCTGATACATTTGTATACAGAAAAAAAGAAAAACGCTTAATGTACTCATGAAGTACCTTATGTATGAGATTTTAAAGATCAAATTCAGAATATACACCTTATTGATGATGCATATTATATACAGGAAACTACTCAAACACACAAGCTTTGTTTATAAAGTCTTTTTATTTAATGGAGAAAACACCACAGAATCACCTAAGTGTAAAATTAACAATTTAACGACAAGTCTAAACCAATGCTTGTATTTTTCAAGATTAACAGCTGATTTTAGGAACAGAATAAACAAAACGAAATTAACTAGCCACTCCGGATACCTATTATCCAAATTACATGTGACATAACAACACCATTTTAGTATAATTAAAGGAATTTTCCAAAAAAAAAAAGAGGTTTGTATGTGTCTGACAGTTCAGTAAGCTTTAAAGCTTAAAGTCAAAATGTCAGATAGCAGCACGGCTTCTCAGCGCAGCGATTTGATTGGCTATTTGAGCTGTCAGTCATTTATCCGTCATGAGGTCAATTGAATGTGGAAATGCCAAAATCCCTTAAAATCTGACATGAATGGTGTCAAATATTGTTTATAACCCTCAAATAGTGCTAAAAGCTGTATATTTCAAGCTGAACAGCCAATGCACAAGTGCAGTGCAGAGTAGAGCAAAAGCTGAATGCTAGCTTAGAATAAACACCAGGCAGCGGCTTTGCTGATTGGCTGTTGAATATGGAAGGCGGGACTTTGAGTCACCATATTTGGTGTTCCAATTTCTCTCATTCATTGCCGTTACTGGTGGTTTTATACAATCTTTTGATAAAGATATTTTAATAATCTGTGAATCAGATGTGGCAGGTGGTTGGATGTCCAGGTGCGGGAAAGAGACTCTTGTTGGCTTTAATTATGTGATGAGTATGTGCTTGGGTGGAGAGCTCACTCAAATGAATATTCATATTGGTTTCATGAATATTAATGAGACGTTCCCAGAGATTTGCTTATAAAGGTGAGAGTTGTTATAGTGAAGAGGCTTATGGCCATTTAGGGATATTTGGATGTCAAAATGGATGTTGGTTCAGCAGTTCTGCTGATTGTCTGGTGTAGCAACCAGACCTTGATAATTAGTGAGGACATGGCAGATCATTATAAAACTTATTAGCTTTGCTCATGAATATTAATAACATTTGGATTGTTGTGCACTGTAGGTCAATTATGAAGTTTTGTTAATTGATTTGAAAGGAAATATGATATATTGACTAATCTTGATGATATACAGTCTATGTCTGTTCAATCACTCGTCTGCCACAATGATTTACATTTATGGATTTTAATAGCAAATACTGACATATGCTTTTATTTGTGATGTAATTTGATCTATTAATGAGCTCATCATGTAATTTGATTAAATGTTTTTTCATTGATTTACAGCCCTACTCATAAAATAGTCAGTACAGTTACTTT